GACTCATTGTTAGTGTACTTACATTGTTTCTCTATTATTTTGGTTAGGTTTGCTTGTACTTACTTTTATTAGGGTGGTGGTACTGTATGAAATTGTGAATGAAGTTGAAACAGAATGAAAAAAGTCTTATGTTATCCCTTGATACTTCATTTGACACTTGTGCGAATTCCTGTTTTTGTTTCTTTTTTATTATTCAGGTTTTTCTAAATGCACCTATCAATGTTGGTCCAGGTTGGTTGTATGGTCAGATAAATGATAAAGTTGGTTTATTTCCGGAATCGTATGTGAGAAAAAAATAGACGGAAAAATTGATCCTTTTGATCCTTTTGGTGTTCATAAAATACCCAGCAACTCTATTTCGTTTACAGCTTTAGAAGCATCTACCGCAAATAATACTCTTTTTACTACAACCAATGTAACTAATGCTTTCGGGTAAGGTTGAAAAGTTGTCTTATCCACATTTTTTATAGGTAAAGTTAACGGTAAACTATTAGTGCTTAATTAGGTATAAGTTAAACATCGACTTATTACGATGAAGTAATCCTGCCGATAGTTGCTACCTTGATGTAGTGGTCGGGGTTGCATATCACTATGACCCAACGAGCTATGTCGACTGCAACGCTTGTTCCCCCCTACTATGCCAGTAAGGTCTCCTGGGTAGTACTAAGATGAAAAGCAGTTACTGTGGGAGTGTAAATTACTACACAATGATGGTGTTCTGAGGGCAAAGTCGTGCTGTTATTAGCTGGATGTGGTGGTTGACCAACAGTGCCACCCTGATTCTGAATCCGTCTGGTATGAGTTTCGCACCTGTCAAATGTAAGATGATGCTCCAGGACTGCTTTTTGAAAGTACTCCCAGTTTAATGATAGGGAGTAAAGTGATAGAATATGTTGACCACTTCTCTTACCTGAGGAGGCACATCAGCCCGAACGGTCTGGTTGCTGACGAAATCTCAGCTCGGATACAGAAGGCCCGTTTGACATTTACCAATTCGCATCATCTCTGACGGCAACTGGTGAGATATCCGACTATCTGTTAAAGAAGAAGTACACGACTTTGCCCTCAGAACACCATCATTGTGTAGTAATTAACACTGTAACGGTCATTGCTTTTCGTCTATCCAACAGACCCGTCTAGTATTGCAGGACCTAGAGGGAACAAGCGTTGCAGCCAACATAGCTCGTTGGGTCATTGTGGTATGCAACCCCGACCACTACACCAAGGTAGCACTTATTGGTCGGGTGTTGCGGTAGCGACAGTCATTAGCATTTACGAAGATGCTTACTGTCACCATTCATTTTAGCTGTTTTATGAATGTGTGTTATGCGTCCGTAAAATGTTACACAATCCTGTAGCATTTGTTAGCACCGTGGGGCTGTGGTTCATTGGTTTAGGGAGATGAGTTTCAAACAATGAGTCACGATGTCGAACAGCCCTCCAGTTACCGAGGTTTAAGTTGCCAGCTATTATCATTTGCCTTCACGGAATTGGTGTGACTTAACATCTACTACACAAATGTGCAGAAAGTTTTTGAGAGCATTTTGATTCAATTTGACATAGCTTAGCTATCCCTGCAAGTTACCTCGAAATTTAAATCCTCTACGGTCTATTATATTTCGTTGAGAGTACCGAATTATGCAATTACCTCGTTCAAAGCCATTGATTACTGTTTCGTTGAGTGCTAGTTTGTTTTTCAAATCTTGAATTCAATGCAGTATGAGATTTGGACTTCGGTCTGAAAATTTCTTCCACGCCAGTCATTTTCACCATATAAATCTATTTGGTGTGTAAATACAGTCGATTGTAGAATGTAACATGAAGTCTTTCACTGGCATTGTTTTTCGTAATATAAGAGTTTTTTATTCAACAAACTTTGCGATAATTTATACACTCATTGGCTTCTTGTGCTTACACTTCTACATAAATGCAGCCTGTCGGATAGGCTTAATTTATCAAGTAACTGTTAAGGGTGATTGCTAACTGGTTTAAGTACCTTCAAGTGCTACACATACTCCTACTACCCGTTTCAATGTGAATGTTTCTTTTGCTCTCGTTGTGCATCGGAAACCGATGCTATCTTGTCCCAGATTCTTGTCAAGGGATTGTAACATTTACCCACTTTTACTGAACAGGATAGGTGTTATGTGGCCTTTTCTAATCAGTACTGATTATAAATCTTTGTAAATAGTTTATTAATGATAATTATGCTTATGTTGTAAGAAAATACAACAGTTTTCTCATCATTTATTTTTTTATGCTGACTAACCTTTGATCCAAGAAAGTATAAAGAAACAAATATACACTATTATTTTTAGTAATACTGATAGTATTATTAATTATTTGGTTTACACAGTGGAATTAGCGTCTATTTGAAATGGAAGCATCAGTTTGTATTGATCATCTCCACTCTTATGTGCTAACTTCAGAGGTTGTTATGTAAATGTATTTCCCTTCTCATTTTGCATTTTTTATGACTTCTTCCTAAGTATGAACAGTGTGTGGTTACACTCACTGGTCACGGGTTCAAGGTATCATTACCTCTCATACAATAGGTGTGGTTCACTAGTTAGTGAGTGAATATGCACACAGTTGTTAAGAGAGCTTGAAAAAACACTGCTTTGTATGTCGCATAACTAACATCAAAGGGTAGCGAGTCAAGTAAAAGTAGACAATGTAACAAAATAGCTTATTCTTCATTATACCTCTTTATTTCATAATATTGTCCACATCTTATAGCAGTCTATTGGCCATTAAAAAACTAGATAACGCTGAACACCTTATTTGTCTTTTAGTGAAACCATCCGCTATTTATGCACTCAATAATCCTCTGTAGGAGGGAACTGAAATCAGACTTTATCTTCTGCATCTCCGATGATTAACCTTTTAGATTTCATTCAAGCTCGGTTCAACTGCGTTCCAGTGTCATACTCACCTAATGTCAAACAGTCTTAGAAATAAACAAAGCAGATTTTCAATTCTGTTTTATTTCTATTGGTTTACTCACGGCTCTCATTTTGTTGATTGGATGGATCTCTTCCACACTTACCAAAATTAACTTAATCTGATGACTAGGTCCTTGAAATTCTGAGCTATTCAGATTACTATGCCAATTTTCATCAAAAAACACTTTCTTATTCCATCATATTTACTATTTGCAGTAGATCAACTGACCCTGTAGATAATCGAGTCAAAAATGAGCCAATGAGGAAACTGGATAATGTTTCTGCTAATGAAATTTGGTGTGAAGTACAAGATAATTGGGATGCCTCATTGAGCATACTAGCGTTACCTGCGGATGTGCAATCAGATGATCAACTATTAACCGTGCAAATTGAAGACCGAGTAAAGATTATCAAAGAAAGTGGAAACAAAGAGTGGCTATATGGTGAGATTGTCGAAAAATCGGGTATTATTAAAAAAGGTTGGCTTCCAGTTTCGTGTTTGAAGCCGTATACGAACCTCGACACTTCCGAATTGAAAAAACGGGTCAGTCTCTTTTGTCATTGAAATTTTACCAGCATCATGTGTAATATTAGTACAAATTTAGCATGTCTAATAAATTTCGGGTCATGCGATTTTTGTAAATGATTACAGCTATATTTATCATAAACTGTCATTATTTGTGTAGTCCCCCATCTAGTCGGTTCAAAATGTACTAGATTTGCTACTCTATAGCACTTTCTTACTAGCATTTAGTAGATCGAAGAATGCTTTTGTTGGTCTGCTGGAAGGAATTTGGTGGCCGCAACCAGTATATCGTCAGACAATGATGTTGCTAGTAGTTAATAATATTATATACTGGTCAGTAAGCGATTATGAGCAATAATTTATGCTCGAAACGTCATCAAGTAAGTAATACTAGATCAAATAAACGAATCTAATATGGAATTAATTTCTACCACAATGCCCAAGTTGTACACCTATATTAATAAGTGATAATAGTTAAGATCATGTAATGAAGTTAATGTGGAATGAACTGAGTACGATTTTAGATTATATTTCTCTGTATTTGGTACTCATACCGCTGGTCCTGCAGTACTAAAGTTAGTTATTTTAATGACTAACTGAATTCATAATGCATTCGTTCACCTAGTGAACCGTATGTGTTATCATCTCAGTTATCGGTTGTAATGCTCAAGCAAATTAACCTTGAGTGCACTGGTTGTTTTTTGCCACTGCGCTCTAGATCATTTTCCTGGATGATCTTTAGTATTTTGTGTTTTGATAATTGCTTTAAATAGTGTATATATATATATATATACACTATTTATTGCAATTATCAAAACACAAAATACTAAAGATCATCCAGGAAAATGATCTAGAGCGCAGTGGCAAAAATCAACCAGTGCACTCAAGGTTAATTTGCTTGAGCATTACATCCGATAACTGAGATGATAACACATACGGTTCACTAGGTGAACGAATGCATTATGAATTCAGTTAGTCATTAAATTAACTAACTTTAGTACTGCAGGACCAGCGGTATGAGTACCAAATACAGATTAATATAATCTAAAATCGTACTCAGTTCATTCCACATTAACTTCATTACATGATCTTAACTATTATCACTTATTAATATAGGTGTACAACTTGTTCATTTTGGTAGAAATTAATTCCATATTAGATTCGTTTATTTGATCTAGTATTACTTACTTGATGACGTTTCGAGCATAAATTATTGCTCATAATCGCTTACTGACCAGTATATAATATTATTAACTACTAGCAACATCATTGTCTGACGATATACTGGTTGCGGCCACCAAATTCCTTCCAGCAGACCAACAAAAGCATTCTTCGATCTACTAAATGCTAGTAAGAAAGTGCTATAGAGTAGCAAATCTAGTACATTTTGAACCGACTAGATGGGGGACTACACAAATATTGTCAGTTTATGATAAATATAGCTGTAATCATTTACAAAAATCGCATGACCCGAAATTTATTAGACATGCTAAATTTGTACTAATATTACACATGATGCTGGTAAAATTTCAATGACAAAAGAGACTGACCCGTTTTTTCAATTCGGAAGTGTCGAGGTTCGTATACGGCTTCAAACACGAAACTGGAAGCCAACCTTTTTTAATAATACCCGATTTTTCGACAATCTCACTATATAGCCACTCTTTGTTTCCACTTTCTTTGATAATCTTTACTCGGTCTTCAATTTGCACGTTTAATAGTTGATCATCTGATTGCACATCCGCAGGTAACGCTAGTATGCTCAATGAGGCATCCCAATTATCTTGTACTTCACACCAAATTTCATTAGCAGAAACATTATCCTGTTTCCTCATTGGCTCATTTTTGACTCGATTATCTACAGGGTCAGTTGATCTACTGCAAATAGTAAATATTATGGAATAAGAATGTGTTTTTTGATGAAAATTGGCATAGTAATCTGAATAGCTCAGAATTTCAAGGACCTAGTCATCAGTTTAAGTTAATTTTGGTAAGTGTGGAAGAGATCCATCCAATCATCAAAATGAGAGCCGTGAGTAACCTTATAGAAATAAAACAGAATTGAAAATCTGCTTTGTTTATTTCTAAGACTGTTTGACATTAGGTGAGTATGACACTGGAACGCAGTTGAACCGAGCTTGAATGAAATCTAAAAGGTTAATCATCGGAGATGCAGAAGATAATGTCTGATTTCAGTTCCTTCCTACAGAGGATTATTGAGTGCATAATTAGCGGATGGTTTCACTAAAAGACAAATATGGTGTTCAGCGTTATCTAGTTTTTTAATGGCCAATAGACTGCTATAAGATGTGGACAATATTATGAAATAAAGAGGTATAATGAAGAATAAGCTATTTTGTTACATTGTCTACTTTTACTTGACTCGCTACCCTTTGATGTTAGTTATGCGACATACAAAGCAGTGTTTTTTCAAGCTCTCTTAACAACTGTGTGCATTTTCACTCACTAACTAGTGAACCACACCTATTGTATGAGAGGTAATGATACCTTGAACCTGTGACCAGTGAGTGTAACCACCACTGTTCATACTTAGGAAGAAGTCATAAAAAATGCAAAATGAGAAGGTAAATACATTTACATAACAACCTCTGAAGTTAGCACATAAGAGTGGAGATGATCAATACAAACTGATGCTTCCATTTCAAATAGACGCTAATTCCACTGTGTAAACCAAATAATTAATAATACTATCAGTATTACTAAAAATAATAGTGTATATTTGTTTCTTTATACTTTCTTGGATCAAAGGTTAGTCAGCATAAAAAAATAAATGATGAGAAAACTGTTGTATTTTCTTACAACATAAGCATAATTATCATTAATAAACTATTTACAATGATTTATAATCAGTACTGATTAGAAAAGGCCACATAACACCTATCCTGTTCAGTAAATGTGGGTAAATGTTACAATCCCTTGACAAGAATCTGGGACAAGATAGCATCGGTTTCCGATGCACAACGAGAGCAAAAGAAACATTCACATTGAATCGGGTAGTAGGAGTATGTGTAGCACTTGAAGGTACTTAAACCAGTTAGCAATCACCCTTAACAGTTACTTGATAAATTAAGCCTATCCGACAGGCTGCATTTATGTAGAATTGTAAGCACAAGAAGCCAATGAGTGTATAAATTATCGCAAAGTTTGTTGAATAAAAAACTCTTATATTACGAAAAACAATGCCATTGAATGACTTCATGTTACATTCTACAATCGACTGTATTTACACACCAAATAGATTTATATGGTGAAAATGACTGGCGTGGAAGAAATTTTCAGACCGAAGTCCAAATCTCATACTGCATTGAATTCAAGATTTGAAAAACAAACTAGCACTCAACGAAACAGTAATCAATGGCTTTGAACGAGGTAATTGCATAATTCGGTACTCTCAACGAAATATAATAGACCGTAGAGGATTTAAATTTCGAGGTAACTTGCAGGGATAGCTAAGCTATGTCAAATTGAATCAAAATGCTCTCAAAAACTTTCTGCACATTTGTGTAGTAGATGTTAAGTCACACCAATTCCGTGAAGGCAAATGATAATAGCTGGCAACTTAAACCTCGGTAACTGGAGGGCTGTTCGACATCGTGACTCATTGTTTGAAACTCATCTCCCTAAACCAATGAACCACAGCCCCACGGTGCTAACAAATGCTACAGGATTGTGTAACATTTTACGGACGCATAACACACATTCATAAAACAGCTAAAATGAATGGTGTCAGTAAGCATCTTCGTAAATGCTAATGACTGTCGCTACCGCAACACCCGACCAATAAGTGCTACCTTGGTGTAGTGGTCGGGGTTGCATACCACAATGACCCAACGAGCTATGTTGGCTGCAACGCTTGTTCCCTCTAGGTCCTGCAATACTAGACGGGTCTGTTGGATAGACGAAAAGCAATGACCGTTACAGTGTTAATTACTACACAATGATGGTGTTCTGAGGGCAAAGTCGTGTACTTCTTCTTTTTCAGATAGTCGGATATCTCACCAGTTTCCGTCAGAGATGATGCGAATTGGTAATTGTCAAACGGGCCTTCTGTATCCGAGCTGAGATTTCGTCAGCAACCAGACCGTTCGGGCTGATGTGCCTCCTCAGGTAAGAGAAGTGGTCAACATATTCTATCACTTTACTCCCTATCATTAAACTGGGAGTACTTTCAAAAAGCAGTCCTGGAGCATCATCTTACATTTGACAGTTGCGAAACTCATACCAGACGGATTCAGAATCAGGTTGGCACTGTTGGTCAACCACCACATCCAGCTAATAACAGCACGACTTTGCCCTCAGAACACCATCATTGTGTAGTAATTTACACTCCCACAGTAACTGCTTTTCATCTTAGTACTACCCAGGAGACCTTACTGGCATAGTAGGGGGGAACAAGCGTTGCAGTCGACATAGCTCGTTGGGTCATAGTGATATGCAACCCCGACCACTACATCAAGGTAGCAACTATCGGCAGGATTACTTCATCGTAATAAGTCGATGTTTAACTTATACCTAATTAAGCACTAATAGTTTACCGTTAACTTTACCTATAAAAAATGTGGATAAGACAACTTTTCAACCTTACCCGAAAGCATTAGTTACATTGGTTGTAGTAAAAAGAGTATTATTTGCGGTAGATGCTTCTAAAGCTGTAAACGAAATAGAGTTGCTGGGTATTTTATGAACACCAAAAGGATCAAAAGGATCAATTTTTCCGTCTATTTTTTTCTCACATACGATTCCGGAAATAAACCAACTTTATCATTTATCTGACCATACAACCAACCTGGACCAACATTGATAGGTGCATTTAGAAAAACCTGAATAATAAAAAAGAAACAAAAACAGGAATTCGCACAAGTGTCAAATGAAGTATCAAGGGATAACATAAGACTTTTTTCATTCTGTTTCAACTTCATTCACAATTTCATACAGTACCACCACCCTAATAAAAGTAAGTACAAGCAAACCTAACCAAAATAATAGAGAAACAATGTAAGTACACTAACAATGAGTCAGTAAAGCGAATGTGCTATGCGATTGTCCTTTTTGGTAGTTATGTGCTCATTTTTTGAGCTACCTTAGGACCGAGTGAAGTCAACAAAGTTTGGTGTGGCATTTCGGTAGACATTGTCTACAGTAAATTATGTGCTTGTATACTTACTGATCGAACATAGATTCAATAAATCAGTCTCTACGCTATAAAGTGACATTACAAAGAAATAAAAAGTAAGAGATCAAGAATAACAAAATGATTAGAGGAGTCTTATGAAATATGCCTAAAGAAATGTTTATCACTATCGTGTTTCACAGTATGATCATGACTAGTTTTATTCTAACCTGTATCTGATAACATCCCTCAGACTCCAGCTAGGTATTTGTGGTGCATCGACGGATGTTATCCAACACAATCAACCTTTATCTTATAGTGACATGTCATACACTGACTACCTCTCTGATCCTTCTAAATAATCAGCCTGAAGGCGAATTGATAGGAAAAGGTGACAATTAGATGCAATCTTTACAAAAGCAAGCATAAAAATTTAGGTTCATTTATACGATAGAAAAAATGGTATCATTCAAGTGAATAACTTCCCCTATCTCCAATTTTTATCTGTTGAGTAAAGATTAATCTACATATCACTTAAACACCCCATTCGACACTAAATTATTAGAATTATAAATCCTTATACATAAAGGAAACATACAAAAAAGATTATCAGTAGAATACAAATGTACACGCAACAATCAATTAAACTAAGCCACCTTGTGCCCATCCGTGCAGTAGACAGTGACCAACACCTATTGTGTGAGGCCCAGTTATACTACCTGAATGCCCAAACCTCGGTGGTTGGAGCGGAGTTCGAATCCGCGACCATTTGGTTGATAATCATCCCCCTAAACCATTGAGCCACAGCCCCAAGAAACAATTCATGATAAAGTATCTTCTTATATAAACATAACACTTACATCAATTAAGGCTCCAGCTTTGAATGATAACTCATCAGGATGTCTAGCGGTAAAATCGAACATAGCTTCATACAATTCGTTTTGTGTACCTGTTGTACCAGTTGAAGTAGATCTTTCAGTTGAAAAAAAAAAGTGGAACACGAAAAGTTGTAAAGAATACACTCATTCAACATTTCTTACATAAACTTACATTATATATGCAGAGACTGATGACTCTTTTATATTAGATTTGTTTATCTATTATAATACAAAGTGATACAGGATTGTTTACTTGATGATTTTTCGACAATAAATTATTGTTCATAATCATATTAGAGTAATCACTCAGCTCTTGACATCTGACTTTTATGGTCCTACCACTTCGCCTTCTTTATTTTTAGGTGCTATTAAAATTTTCAGGTCTAAAGTGTCTAAGGGTCATTCTTATTGCATGTGTTGGGTGTTGATTCGATGAACAAAGATTCAGTAAACAATCTCTCTCCCTCTCCACCTAACTACGGTTACGTGAAGATAATCGATCGAACAACAAGGAGATTTTGAATAGAATTACATCACTGACTGTTAGTATGTAATCAGTGGTAACAAGCTACCTTAAAAGGACTGAGGTTATCTTCAGTTCATTAGACGAAGAACTACAAGAAAAGTTAAAAACAGTACAGTGTTTATCTAACATGAAGACCCAACAACACATGACGCGTTTTAAGTTTTCACACTTAACAGAGTAGATCGAAAGTCAACAAGAATGGGAAACTTACGATAAACAGTATGAACAGACAAGAAATGGGAATAAATGAACGAAAATGGAATATCCGAGATTCTGAAGAAAAGAAGTGAGAACCTCTTTGCTGCTATCATGTATATTGAGGTATAATACTCAGGGTCTTTCAATACTGATTCCTAACATCTTGAAAGAAGTAGTCAGAAAGCTTACTTACATCTTCGTATACAGCTGACGCCGAGTCGCCGGCAACATAAATTACAGTTGTATTTTGATCCGATAAAAACTTCATACTAATTTTACCATCTATAAACTTGAGAAGAGTAAGAATACACTGAACAGAAGTGCATGCTTTCACTTCATAGTGTCAGGTTCTCATCAGCTGCTTACAACTTATGAATAGATGAGTTAATAATAATTCAGAAGCTAAATGCATAAAGTATAGTGAGTTGGCTTTAATTACATAAAATTGAAGTTTAGTGTGAGTTTAAGCCCTCTACTATTGATCATAAAGATAAGAAGAGATGACATGTAATCCCTCGACCGATAGCTGCTACCTTGACGTGGTGGTCGGGCTTGCATATCACAATGACCCAACGAGCTATGCTGGTGGAACGCTTGTTCCCTCGAGGTCCTACCATACCAGAAAGGTCTGTTGGTAGTGGTTAGACGAAAAGCAGTTACCGTTAGTGTAAATTGCTACACTATGATGGGGGTCTGAGGGCGAAGTCGTACTGCTGCTAGCTGGATGGGGTGTGACAGCAGTAAGGTGTTTCCCTTGGATGACCAGCAGTGCCATGCTGATGCTGCCTTCTCAGTGGAAGGGGGGGTTAGAAAAGGTCGGCCCCAAAAATAACACACTCCACCACCCCCACGGTCTGCCGGGCCGGCGGTGTTGGTTCACTTGTCGTTTCCTTTCGCCCATCCGGCCCCAAAAATACAAAAATTCAAAATAATCATACTCAAAAGGCTGGGTGTGACAGGCCTCAAGCAGATGTCCGATGGGCTCTGCGGTCACACAAATCTCTTTCAGGTACCTTAAGAAGAAATAGCCTTCCACGGTGTGGGCAGCCGGGAAGTGTCAACCGCCCTCACAACTCTGTCAGCACCCAAGTTTCTTCTGACTGCTATCCTCCTCCTCCATCATTACCTTCTAATCTTCCTTCACGTCTCTTAATTAATGATGCTGCATCATCTTCAATTTCTCCTACCTCTGCAGCCTTCGACAACGATCTGAGTCCACAGAACAGTATCCCTGGTCTCCTTAAACCACGCTCCAAATTACATATTGGAGCCTTCAATGTCCGCACCCTCCGTCAAATTGGCCAACAGGCTTCGTTGGCAAAGACTCTAGCAACTCGGGCATGGATGTGTGCTGTGTTTGTGAGACACGCATACAGGACCCAAGTGTGGTTATTCACCTGACCTCTCCTGACCAATCTGGTGAATCTGCAAAATTCACCCTTCGAGTTTCTGGAGATTCGATAGCTAGCTCTCGTGGTCTTGCAGGTGTAGGTATAGCATTAAGCACCAGGGCAGAAAACTCACTACTAGACTGGATCCCAGTTGATAGTCGCCTCTGCGCTATGAGGCTGAACGGCACAGTGAGAACTAAAAGGAATAGTGAGACTCGCCGTTGTCTCTTTGTAATCTCTGCTTACGCACCCACTGACTGTAGTTCGGATGAAGTGAAGGACGAGTTCTACCATAAACTGTCTAACCTCCTCTCGAAAGCCAAACGTTCGGACGTAGTGGTTGTTGCAGGTGACCTCAACGCACAGGTGGGTAGACTGAGTGAGGCAGAAAGGCACTTAGGTGGCACTTTCGGAATCCCAGCTGAACGTACAGATAACGGTGATCGCCTATTACAACTATGCTCAGATAACCGCCTATTTTTAGCCAGCACAAATTTCAGACATAAAGAAAGGCACTGTCTGACCTGGCGTCCACCGAGCTCGACTCAGCGATGGACACAGATAGACCACATTGCTATTAGTCATCGCTGGAGAGGATCGGTGGAAGACTGCCGCTCCTTCTGGAGTACGTGTTTGGACAGCGATCATGCGTTGGTCCGAGCACGTATATGCCTGCGTCTCAATGGACGTAGAAAAAATTTGGCAACAAAACCACTACGAGTTCTGCTGGACAACGAAAACACCAAAGCCGTGTTCAGTGAGAAGTTGGCTAGGCAGTTATCGGAACAAAAGACTGTCACTCATCCAGAAGAAGCTTGGTGCCATCTTCAGTCTACTGTAAAAGCAGCACTGGAGACTGTAGCCGACTCCAAAATAATGGCTAAAAAGAGCCAGTGGATATCAGCAGCTTCTTCCAAACTAATGGATGCACGTGAATGCATCCCTGCAGGCTCTGAGTACAATGAAGAGCGAGCGCAACTTAAAAATAAACTGACGAAAAGTCTGCGCAACGATCGTGAACAGTGGTGGGCAGCGAAGGCTAAAGAGATGGAAAAGGCAGCGGCGATCGGTAACAGTAGACAGTTATTTAACCGTATTAAGGAAACTGCGGGAGAAAGGTCAACAACACTGCGCCGGGTTCTGGAACACAGGCACACTTACTGACGCCCGACAATGGCAGTATTTTTCAACCTGAAGGCGGTGACATTCGACTCCGATGATCGACAAGTCTTATGACAATATCTCTCACTGAAAGGCGTGCCGAGTAAGTACATCACCTTATTGAAGGATTTCTATTTGAACACTTGTGGGCATGTTAGAGCCTATGGTGAGATATCTTGCGAGCTGTACTCGTAAAGTGGTGTCCGTCAAGGCATTCTTATTCAATTTTATCATAGATATTCTTATGGAGGTCTCCCTCTCATGACCTGACTAGACAGACGTTGACCTAATTACAGGAGAATTTTCGTTAGACCTAGAATATGCAGATGACATAGTCCTGTTAAGTGAAGATGCTGACAAGATGCAGAGTATTCTGAACACTGAGTGTCAATTTGAGAATGTTTGGGATGCAAATTTCACCACCCAAATGCAAATTGCTGCTCCAGGATTGGTCTTCAACGGTGCCCAACCACGGCTAACAATAGAGAGTGAAGTGGTTGAGTGTGTTGACCACTTCACTTACCTGGGAAGTAGGATCAGCCCTGCCCTGGTGGCTCAGTGGCCGATGAAATCTCTGCACGGATACAAAAGGCTCGGCTGGCTTTCGCCAATTTACGCCACCTGTTGCGCCACCGTGATATCGGATTGTCTACTAAGGGTCGCGTGTACTGCACAGCAGTCCACTCTGTTCCACTGTATGGCTGTGAAACATGACCATTCAAGGTGGAAGATATGAGAAGGCCTCAGGTGTTTGACCATCGTTGCCTCATTCTGTGGTGTCACCATGTGAGTAACGCAGACGTCATAGAGTCTTAGGAAGAAGAGGTAAGTCGGTTGACGAGGTTATGAACCTTCTACGACTGATATGGTTGGGACATGTTACATATGTCTAGTCGCCAATTGCCTCGTCACACAATGTTGGCTGAAGTAGGTCCAGGCTAGAAAAACGCCCGAGGTGACCAGACTAAAACATGGCACCAATGTATGAAGTGTTTGACTGCTGGTTTGAGCTATATGGGGCGATCCAGACTAGATGGTTGGGGTCCGCGGGATAAGAGGAACCAGTGGCTGGAGACTCTAGGTGATATGGCTGAGGACCGATGTCAGTGGTGCAGATGTGTACACATTATCCTCATCTTAACGCTACACAGAATCTCACCGTTTTCTCATTCTTCTTATCACTCTTTGAGTAAATTATATTTCCTTTGACTGAGTTTTCTTGTCTTCATCTTGCACTTCACTGGCTTTTTATTTGATGTACCGATATGAGCTGTGGCAACTCGGACCGTTACGCAGTAATGCCTGGTCCTATGTTGGTTTGGATGGATGATATATAGTCCAATATAAAAAGAGCCGCTAAACGAGGTAACAGGATAGTAAAATGTTAGTGATTGCTTCTGTTTGAGCGCTCAAATCGGAATTCAGCCTTCGGATTGAGATAACTTCAGCGAAAGGGAGATAAGGATTTCACTGCTGGTGGATTATTTTAGATGATTCTAGGGGATTTAACCGGTGTTCCCCGTCTATTAGGTGCCTAGCAATTGCATTACTGAAGTTACTAGACGTCCGTGGTAGCAGGCTTTTTAAAACATTTTCAAAAATTCTTTCGTTCTGGTAGTAGAGATCGTTTGTATTTCAATGACTGATGGTATACAATAAAATATTACTGCTAGTAGAAAACTTGGATAAATATCATTCGGCCTAGGTTGACCGCATTTGGCGTGACTTTAAAGAGTTTAGGTATTGTACCTAGTGGTGTAGTAAGTAAATATAAAAGGTGATCAAAACACTTTACTGAGCAAACGCGGTGGCATATAACTCACCTCAATGGCACACAAACTGCCGATGGAAGTAAAATTTCACTTTAATTCTCATTTACAACCCATGAAATCAATCGAAATTCGTTAAGAACCCTATCTTTCTACGGTAGGTTTCTTGTACGCTTGTTTTCATGATACTGTCTACTGCTACTCTGAAACGCAAATAACTAACTACTTTAACCATAAAAGCTGTGTTGCTGCCACCTAAATGATTAGTTTTCAAAATGAACAACACTATTCTTCAGACGGAAAATGGGTCTCACTAGATGAATTGAACTTTTGGAATTGGACATGTAGTCTACGACAATATAATATCAAGACTGCATTTATATCAAAAATCATGAGAATCGTGAATTAAACTAAATATAAGTCCAACAAAACAATGTAAACACTATCAACTTACGTAGACAAGTCAGAAGTCTTCCTTCTCAATTTATATGTTTGCATCTTTTGTTCAACAGAGTGACGTAAATCAACTAAATCAAGCATTGTTCGGGTAACTCGCCGTTGTGAATCATCGATTTTATTGCGTCTAGTAGCTAATTCATGACCTTGTTGGGTCATATTTTGATCTAATTCATTTAATTTATTCCGTAGTTGCTCGATTGTTTTAATACGTGCCTGAGTATGTTATCAGAAAAAATGTTTTATACTCGAATACATAGGTTACTGATGAAAAAAGTGTCAAAATACAGCAAAGTGGAGCGATAAAAGTTGAAAAGACACGTATATATATATATATATATATATATATATATATATATATATATATATATATATATATATGCATAATACGGTTCCTCTTACGCATGACTGCAGTGAATATACACCATCATATTAGACAATGTAGACACAACAACTTTATCAACAACCGTTAGTGATCGATTTAGCCAGGTTGATGGATTATTCAGATATATATATTCAGAAGTCATGTTGCTAGTCTCATCAATAAGACTGGTTTGGTTGATTTTTTTGAGGGCACTATAATCTAATATTTACATTATACCCTACTACCACCGTTACTACCTACAATGATACACTGATGTTCCAATGTCATTTAGTCTCTTATTTGTGAACATATTTTTATCAGTGAATTTCAACATGCACAATCGCAGACAAACAAACAGAAAGGAACAGACCGAGATTGTGGCATGGTGTACACTAAAACTAAGTCCTATCAATATCATGATCGTTCTAACTGGTCTAATGCATGTTGATCCAATAGATATGCATCATACTTCCAAATAATAATATATTGAACAGTAGGTTGGACAGACACATCGTTAACCATTAAAATATGGTCAGCTGACAAACAATATAAATTCTACTGAAAGTAATCAAAAATGAAACAGCCAATTCACGCTATTCATATCCGATTGCGTCAGTCCCCATCCTGTAAATACACCTTTGAATCCATGAATTCTATTAATTGCATCACGTATCTCGTGTTTAGCTACGAGTTGTTCATTTATTCACCTACTGTACAACGAGTTAATTAACAGATAAGATATCAAGTGATCTTAGATACAAAAGTAATAAGAACGGAAACAAAAAGCAAAAATACGGACGACTTTTGCAATCCATATGGAATACAAAATATTCAGGTAGGTAATAACACATTTTCGAAAATAAACGCTTATATAAGAAGCGTTGATGTATCAACAATTCGAAAATGTAGAAACAGAGTAAAACAATTGCTCTTTCGGTTACCTATAATATGCTGACGGGTTTGTTTCAAATGCAAAAAAAATTAACAGCATGCAAGTTGATGAGAAAACGTAATTGAGAAATGTGATCAGCATTTTAAAATCCCAGCAAAAGATACATTTACTGATGATAACATACTGTATACACCGTGTGAAACGAACGTGTAGTGAACAACGAAATACTATTAACCACTCAAAATATTAGCTCACTAATTCAGTAGGTAATCAACTGGTGCTAATTTTTTTTTATTTTGATTGGTTTACGTGCTCAATTTTCTAGCCAGACTCCCTACCCTACCTATCAACCAGCCAGTACTATAAGCACAAATACAACATAAATAAGTAATATTATAATAATTATTGTACTCAGTCATCAAAAGAATCGTTTCACTAAATGTGCAAAAGTGCATGGACACATGGTATTTCCGTTTCTGCGAAGCACATCGATGAATCTTCAAAAAGAAGCATCCTTAGCTCATTCACTTTTTTCTACCAAGGTTTAAGAAACTCTCTTTGAAGAGTCAAACAACCCTATAATGTGATTATGGGTCAGTGCATGCAGAGCGATAGACGAGTTTCCCCTCTAATTGTCTTAGTAGGGTCTATCATTGCTTGTTTCGCCAAATTTATGTGCCCCACTATTTTGATTGACCCCGATCGGCTGCTCTGACCCATATATACTTGACCCCACAATTATTACATGGTATTTAGTAAATTAGGTCACTTTGTTTAATTGGCTCTACTGTATACCTTAGCTGGTTGGGGTCCGCGTGACAAGAGAAACTAGTGGTTGAAGACTCTAGTTGATGTCAGTAGCGCAGACGCATAAACACACTTTCCTCACCTTAACCGCTGTACTTATTCCCATCGTTTTATCATTCCCTCTTCCTCTATTTTACTACTTTCCACTTCTTTTGATCGATTTTCTTTCTTCTTCCATCTTTCATTTCATTTCCTTGCTACTTGATGTCCTGATGTGAGGTGTGGCAACTTGGGTCGTTACATAGTAGTGCCTGGTACTATCTTAATCTTGATGATGGTGACAAAGTTTCTCCGAGTTTGTAGGCTTGAATGCTACCTTAATCCGAGCATTCTTATGAACTCTATGTAAACTTTCCGATGTGCCTACAACATTCGGTGACATAAGAGAGGATATGAATTCCGTCTTGGACATGTGATTACCACGAATATTATCACTTCTCTCATAAATCCTTATAAACCTCTTAATAAATTGCGAAGGGTAACTGTTAAGTGGTAGTCGCTTCAGTGTCTTTCGGTTTCCTATTTACATTCCAAAACTGACTAGTCAAACTTCTAGCTCCAATGATACTATTAAGTTACTCAAATCACAGTAGGTGGAGTGGGGTTCAAACTCGTGACCTACCGGTTGAAAGTTAACTGACTAAAGCAATGAGCTATAGCTCTGTTCTATTATACGGACGTAAAACATGGCCGTTAAAGGTGGAGGATATGAGAATGCTTCTGATATTTGACCACCGCTGCCTTTGCACCATAAGCCATATGTCTTGGTATCACTGGATCAGTAATGCAGAAGTCGTGTAGTAGTAGAGGAGTTTCACTTGATGACGTCGTGAACCTTCACCGTTTCATGTGGTTGGAACATGTGTTACGCTTGCCTAACCAATATGTGTCTCGTCGCACAACGTTAGCTGAAGCAGGTTTAGGATGGGAAAAAGTAAGTCAGTCAGAATAAAGCGTAGCATCCGTGCATAGAATCTTTGAATGTTAGTTTGAGACAAGTAGGGGAATGTAGATTTCTAGCTTGGGGTGCGTGTGACAACAGAAACTAGTGGTTAGAGATTCCATGTGATTACATGGCTCACAATCGATCTCTATAAAGTATCCACAGTATCTTCATCTTACTCGCCATACTGAATTCAGTATTTTCTTATTCCTCCTTATCTTCTTTCGACTTACAACAACTTTTGACTGCTTTTTTCGGAATTTCTTTATCATTCATCCTAATGCTTTCCTGTATGGCATGCTAATATGAAGTGTCACACCTTGGACGACTACCCAGCAATGATACGTCTTATGTTGGCTTTATCTTCCTGTCACTGTCAGGCACTCCAACAATACCTCTCAGTTGACACAGACAAATGCCGCCTTCAAGAATATTGGACGAGATCAAAGCAGAGCCTTACAGATAAGTGCATCGGTTCCCACACTCTACAGTACCAAGTAAAGAAAAAATGGATAGAAAAAGATTGATATCAAAGTAAAAAAGTTGTGCGAGAGATAAAAGTTTGTGGGAATATTCAAGGTTTAGAAGACACCAAAAAGTAAATACATCCGCACCGCTAGGAGTGACTCTAAGCGATATCACCACGAGTCCTGCACCGGTGATTCTAATCGTTCATAGAACTCCACCCAGATAGTCTATACCTATCCAGACGGTTTAGACCAACAGAGAATCCATGGATCGGTGCCACGTTTTAGTCTACCACCATCAAACCAGTACTGGTCGCCAGTAAGTCTGTTTTCCAAAACCTGGTCGATGCAACCCAATCTATTTCTGTGATTTGCCTGCTTTTCTTAAGCTTTGGTTTGGCGTCAGCAATTTTTAATGACTGGAATGATCACAGAAGTAGACCAGCCTAATGCGAATTCCTCTGATTTCCATAAGTTAACTGTTATGTTTCTTACTGTGCTCAATAATTTCCTACCCCCATCCTCATAATCTTTGGGTTGCAAACTCTCAGGTCCTGTTGCTTTGCATCTTCTCAGGTCCAATATAGCCTGCTCAACTTCAAAAAGAGTTGGAGGTTAAACATCTACGCTTCATTCAGGTTCAGGCTGGACGTTGGATAACTGAAGCATTGCTGTGGGCCAGTTGAACTGAACTTCAAAGTGTTCCGTTCAAAATTCTAGCCCCCTGTCCTGGGAGGTTATCAGCACCCCATCCTTTTCTGTCCTCCTCTTACTGGTATCCTTAATAAGCCTAAATAGTTGCCGGGCATTAACCAACGCTGATCCCTACTTCATCTCTCTCGCTTGCGCCACCCACCACCACTGCTGGCGATCATTGCGACGACTCTTCGTCAATTAATGTTTAAGTTGCTTTCGCTCTTCACTGTGAGTCTTCTCGCACCAATCAGTAGCGATGATATTGCAGAAATTCAATTACATTTGCCAACCTTCAGGTGTAGGTCACCAATTGTCTTTACCGCTGTTTCTACAGCAGACATAATATCGCGTCACGCCAGGTTTCTTCAGAACATCCATTGTTGTCACTTTCAGATAAATGCTTGGCTATTTCCTCCCTGAATATGTATTCTATGTTCGCATCTTCTAATTGAACACAGGCTTCACTATCGTCTACTTTCTACGACCAATAAGGCACAGATATATATGTGTTCAAACATGCACATGATCGGAGTCAAAACACGTAATCTAGAATGAGTGGCAATCCTCCACTGATCTTATAGGAATACGATATATCCGCATCCACCGTTGGTTTGATGTTGGTGGACGTCAAGTAAGACAGTGTATAACCTTATCCTAGAAGTGCTAACCAGAAACAAGCGAATGTTTGGAGAAAATTGCAAAAGACAACCATCGTTGTGTATTCGTTAACATTTGATGGGGTAGATACCTGCAAACGCTCTTTTGACTGGCTTACCTTTCCCTACATTAGCATTGAAGTCGCCTGCTGTTATGAGTGAACGTTTTCCTTTATTTAATAAAAGTGATAGATTTTGATAGGATTAATTCTTTGTATCAGCTGAAATGCAGTCAGTAGGCACGTGAACAGAAATTATGAAGAGGGATCAGGAAGCATTCCGGCCCTTTCTAGTTCTTACAAATCCATTTAACCGGACAGCACTCAGATGGCTGTTGACTGGTTTGCAGTCTAGAGGAAATAAATTCTGCACCTACACCAGTCCATGATGTTTGCAGATTCATAGCACTGGTCCGATGAGGTCAAGTCAATAACCAAACTCGAATCCTGTATACGTATCTCAGAAACAAAGAGTACATCCATGGCTCAAGATTCCAGAGTTCTGGAAAGAGATGCCTTATGTCCAACTTTGTATAAGATTCAAAAGATGAAAGTCCCAATTCGAAGTTGACACCAAGCTTTTCGAAGATTAAGGATGATGTTTTACTTGATTAGATTGCCAGCAAGGGTAGCAGGATGAAAGGGCAACTAAGTTGTAAGAGGTTTAATACTGGTATCAGGAAAGTAATTTTGAGCTAAAAAAAAAGGTTTGAAGCAGCCAAAGTGAAACACGGTAGTCTCCGACTGACAGCCTGAAAAGTGTAGGGAAATGTAGACTTTCCAGATGGTGTCCACATGCCAACAAAAGTTGGTGGTTTGAGACTGTGAGTGATATGGCTCAGAATTGATCTCACTGACGCAGATGCAATTACATATTATTTTCTTTCTAATCGTCCTATCGCATTTCAAAACTATTTAACCCCTTCTTGTTTTTTCTTTAAGACTTTCTACTACTTCTGATCACTTCCTTATTTCTTTACCCTCACATTCTGGTGTCTTCTACCTTGATCTACTGATATGAAGTGTAGCAACTTGGACCGTTACGCAGTGTTGTCAGTACTCATGCTGATATTGACTGACTGAATCTGATAAAAGTAGAATATCAATACGGTTAGCACAGTATCTAAGTAAAATAATACTGTTACCCATAGTCTTCAGCTGGGACAGGTCGTTTGCATCTTAGTAACAGCGTATTTCATCCCGTTTAAGTTAGTCCTAGCAACATTCGATAGAAGATTTGGACAAACCGATCGTTTGGAAACTTTTAATGATACCTGGCAGCCCAAACCTCGGTAGGTAGAGAGGGGTTCGGACCAGTGACCCAATGGTTGAGCTACACAGATAGTACATCTTCACAACTCTTACCTTTCTTTGCTTTGAGTTCTGCATAGTGGTTATACACTGTGCAGGAATCAACCTCACTTATATCTCTCGTAAAACACTCACCACTACAGTGGTGAGACTATTTCAAACCGAATGAGCCACAGAAACTTATGTTAATCCATTGTGTTTCAAGCAAAATGTTAGTCGGTTGATAAAGTGATCTTTAATGTAGCTAGAAACATCGCTGAAGATCTTAACAAGAAACCTTGATTCTTTCTGTTCAGTTAGTTGTCGCAAAAATAGGATATCGTTTAATTTCATTACTATGGGCATCACAAAGAGAGATAATAAACGGTAGAAATATTCGAAGGCTTACTTTAAGTACAACGATTATTATAAACTGAATAAGTTTGTTATAAGACTTACTTCCCGCATTGATTGTAATGTTTTGTACTGTTCCATTACAGGATTCATATCGACTCCCGCAGTCATACGCAAACTTAGTTGTTCTTTTTCTCTCTGCCAGTGCGCAAGTTCAGCTTTTGCAGCTTCCATTTGTTCAGTCATCTCTCTTATATCACGCTCATATGCATCACGTTTACCACGCATTTCATTAATAGCCGTTTTATGAGAATCAACTTCAGTTTGTGCAAGTGTAAGGCGAGAATCTAATTCGGATAAGCGTTGCTGTTGAGAAGATGCTGATTCAAGTAAACTTGCACGATGAGCAACAGCCTTATATATATTTACAAAGAAATGGATTAGACGATGAGCTACTGAATAGATAGTTAACATAAATGAACATACATAAATAGGCGGTGTGAACGGTCACAACGCCTCCATTTAAATATACAAATAAGTGAAAAATGATCGCAGATAAAAGGTGAATCTCAACTAGTATGTACTTTCCCTGGCCAGGATCCTTTACATATAGAGACTTTATTGGCACGGACGCACCCTTTACTACATTCAAAGTTGTTAACATTTTATGAACCACTATCTACTTATTCTTCTCTTGGTCAAACAAATATAATTTCACGTTTTCATCTTGTGTTGTTGTGACTTGGTAATTAGAGCTAGTGCACTTCTAATAAATGAGCACTCGTAATACATACATACATACTTGTAGGACACCTGAAAGAATATTTGTAGACTCATGTCTACCATCCACAACCACATCTACGATGTATGACTACTGACGTACAGTATACTTACTCGTTAGAGTACGTGAGGATATCACGTTGGTACAGGAAGTGGTAAAGATTGCCACCACTCAGAAGCGTCGAAGTCTGTATGACATTCTTACGTAACATTTCGGAGCATCGTTTCATACCTACAGATGTGTCGATAATTCTACAACAACGGTGATCAAGCGAACAACAAGAGTTTTCGTTAACTCAGATGACAGTTTCCTACAAGCACTTGGATAATTCACTCGTGCTATTCCACAAAAAATAGTTTGTTTGACACAAAACACAGTGAAACAGTACTATTTATTGGTTGGGGTTTCAGGCAGAATTTATTGCACAAAGTAATAACACAGAAACAGCGACTTCAGGCTTCTGTTTTCAAAGTCCAACAGCTATTTATTCTTTCATTTTTAGTGGTAACAAAATTCTTCGAATACCTGGGATACGTAATGAATTATTGCCGTTGTATATGTCAGGTGTTGGTTCGATAAACAAAGAACCAGGATCCGATCCCTCACTCCACCCAGCTGTACTGGATTTTAAGATCGTTACTATAGCTCATCCTATAGTGTGATTATGAATGAGTATAAGAACAGTGATAGACAAGCATATCGCTATCTTAGGACAATCTATCTATCATTTTATATTTCACTGTTTTTGCGCTCCAATATTCTGAATGACGTCGAACGGCTGCTTTGTTCAGTATACTTGACCTTATAATCAACACAATCTTTTAGCCCACAAAGTTTTGCCAACAGTACAGCATTAGGGCGACTGAAAAAAAGCTCACCTGTTCTAATAAAGTTTGTACATGATTTCGTTCCTTCAAAAGAGCTTCAGTCCGAAGACGTTCTGCTTCAATTTGACGCTGCTTTTCAGCTTCACGTGTAGCCTTCGCTCTTTGTTCAACGGCTTGACGACGACGTTGTTCTCGTTGAGCTTCAAGTTGTCGTGAAAGTTCCGCTTGTTTCTCAGCTTCTGCAGCTTGTTGACGCTCTTTTTCCATGCTGGAATAAATTAAATGTTGAATAAAATAATAAAAGTTAACGAATATGTTTTGAATGAATGACTTTATGCGTAGATAACGAAACAAAATATCATGTACACTATGAAATATTTATGTTCAAAATTACAGCTTCCTACAAGTTTCAGAAGCCCTTTCAGAATGGCATTTTCTACTTCGTGTTTGCTAGTGATAACTCTTTTCATCAATGCAACCAGGTATTTCTGTTCTAGCAGAAGCAGATTACTAAGATATAATCTTAGTTAGCAGGATCAAAATCCAATATTAGGTAGAAGATAAATGTAGTACAAGGTTAATAATGGACTATCTTCCGATACGACCAAAGAAAAAGGTCTAATGGAAGTATATTAAAGGCGAATCCTCTAAATTGTATCTTAACATGTTAGTTAACTATAGATAAATGCCAAAAAGCTTTGGAAACTACATGAGTAAGTATTTTCATATTTTTGAAGTCCCTTATCTCTCTACTGAGGAATACTGTCCTTAAGATTATGAATAAAAATGATTCATCTAATTATAGTGCATAGGATATCGAATGAAATGTCAAGCATAAACCAAACAAACAAATAAGTTCCAATTGATCTAGTTGATAAGTACTAGTGATCAATTATTCTAAGCATAATGAAGATTCAACATTTAAGGTGTCAATGCATTTCATTGAAAAGGGGTGAACTATTTATTCGGCACTTGTTTTGATACTTATAATGGGTCACTGAAGAAGCCAGGAGACAAGCGCTATTACTGGATAAGAGAATCCGGTTTTGGTCATTAGACGATTCAATAGTACGATCCTGACAACATATCGATTAGGAAGCTTATTCACTTCATTAGAAATCAGTTCACGTGAAACATGTTAGTCGGTCAAATACAAGCTCATACAAATACTAACCGTAATTTTTGTTGTCTTTCTCTTTCCAATCGTTCATTTTCCAGACGAATTTCTTCCTCTTGGCGCATTTTTTCTGCTAACTCCTGTTTTCGTCTATCCAGTTCTGCTTGACCCTGTCGGAAATTTTCTCGTCGTTTGTCTTCAAAACTAAGAGCTTTGAAAATATAGATTTCAGAATATATGAATATCATATACATTTGGCATTTCAGACCATGCCAACTGTAAAATGCTGGCTTTTTACTGTCACAACAAAACTAATCACCTGCTAGGAAGAGAAACTAGGATGCATAATTAGATTCTGTCATCTTAAGAACGCATGTTGTACATCAACTGGCACTTTATTCAAAGAAACGAAAAATAGGACTCAGAGCGAACTGGTATATCACAATTCAAATACCAATCTGTTGTAGAAATACAAATCTATCTGAAATATTCAAGTGTCGGCTTTACACTTTTCGTAACACATGATTATCATTTAATTTCCATTGAAATACTCTAAAGAACGCCAAGCACATAATGAGAATACTTACGAAAATACTGCAAAGAATATGTTTTAGTGATTAGTTTTAAGAGACTAATCAATTTGCCAGTGAATTTTCAAAAACGGTTGGTGCGAATACCTCATATCCAGGCTTAACTTTTTCGACATATATAAATGAGTCTGTAACCTCCAAGTAATCCATACTGCTTCCATGACTCGTTGTCAAAGATGCGGTTCCTTAGCCTCTGATAACTTCCTGGAGAACTGTGCCATATGCACACATTGACACAGTCTAGTCCCAGTCATTTAATTAAGATTAATAAGCTTAACATTGCGATGGTGAGACCTTTACATATGGTCAACCTGTAACAAAAAATGCTAATATAAACTTTAAGGGCTAAATTTAGCGTGTAATAAAACCTGGTTAGAAAATTTTGGAAAAACAGATAACCACTACGTTACACAAGGGGGAAAAAACCCTTATAACAACTTGAAATGCAAGGATCTTTTTCGAATATTAGATGAAGTCAGTGTTATTCCATTCGGTATATCTTAATATATCTTATAAATGAAGGGATCAAATCACCAGAATAATAACACGACTGTAATGATATCATTTTTAAATTGAGAGTAGTACTCATGCAAAATTAATTGGTTGGATGAATGAATGCTTTTGCACAGCGGATTCAATCAAGACAAAAATGAATGTATGCATATGAAAGTGGTGACTATTTTGTCTTTGTGTATACCAGAAAATATACATCTTAAATGCCACTGCTACGATAATAGTTTAAGTACATTGATCAGCCAGTTTACTTTCAAAATACTATCTGTCAATTTGTTATTAACACCGTCTCAGTGATTAAATTCAAATGGTGAAAAGAAAAACACATTCATGGAAAGAACAAAAAGCAAAGCGAATGATTTCTAGTTCATTAGAAAATGCACCTATTTATTCATGCAACAACAGATAATAACTCCTCAGCATTATCACCGTTATTATTACTGCATAACAAGATGAAGTGAGAATGGAAATCTTATTAAATTAAACACAAGAAGTATTAAAAGTGATCATACATGATGATTTCTCTTTTCCTTCAATATCATCTTCTTTAGAGGTAATATTGGACGGTGATGATGAATGACTGAATGGGCGCTAATTTGAACAGAAAGGAAAAGACATTTAACAATTAATAACATTATATATTTTTTAAACCCTTAAAATTAAGAGGTAAAGCGTACCAAATGGAAAGATTATCTGCAAACGTGCTCCTTCGGTCATGATTAGGATTCACTAGGTTATCTCGAAATGCTTTCATATGGTCATGGCTTCACGGTTTCTATAGTATAGTTTAAGCGGATTGGTTGCTCTTAGTATGACACATAAACACCAAATCAAGCTAGTTTTAAGACTATCCGTCAAACGTCCAAAGCTACGATGAGCATTAGCTGCACCTACAAGTAGTCGTGGAAATGAAGACTAAAGCTGCCTGTGACTTTGAAACACATCCTGCTTATAAGCAAAGCGTCTCTGAAGACCCTTTGCAATTTACTGATACGCAATGGTCTATTTTGGTAGACAGTAACTTCTTTACCTGAAATCAACATGTACTCAGCAACCATGTGCAGATTCGTGCAGCAGGCAGTGAGCCACACCTGTTGTGTCCAAACCTCTGTAGATGAGGCGGGGTTCGAATCTATGGCCCAGTATTTGGAGGTAGTGTCTGGACGAATGAACCACAGCTCCTTTAGCCAATAGATCATGTACCATTTACGTTAGAACCATGAGGCCTGATAATCAGAAAGTGAGTGAGGAAGAAACAGCAGCTGCATCTGGCAATAACTGGAAGTTGTTCTAGATCATCTAAGTTACTAGCAGCAATAAGCCTGATGTCAGAGACAATCTGTAGAGGAGATGTTACTGCGATCGCCAAACTTCGCAGACGCTTGGAACGTCGGGAGCACTTCTAAAAGCGATTAGGCTGGTTATTGTTCCAGGCAACATCGACATTAGAATATTGTGCTTAATAGTAAGTTAACACCGATCCACCTGACGAAGCGGAGGTTCGTTAGAAACTTCATATACTAAAGCACCATTTGGGAGTTGACTAATTTAGCCCGCTCACTATCCTTCTTATGGATGGTGGTGAGACTTTATCGAGGAAACTGGCTATATTGTTTGAGAAGGTATACCAAACTGATTGCTTATTCCCTCTTGAATGAATCAACTGGAAAGGGTATACGTAGTGTGTGATTACTAATATATTATTTTTCTCTTGGGTTTCTAGTGGAACATGGGCCTTCAGTAGCACGCCTCCATTCCACTCTGCTCTCTGTAGTCTTTTGAACCTAGCTCCACGACTGCCCGGAAGCTCTCATTCCTTCCTCACATGATCCCCTCCATGTCACCCTCATCTGGGAAGACCAACTCGTCTTTTCCCCTTTGCAT